TGTTCTTTCCTTGAGTAAATTTTAAAAGAAATTTGTTATATATTTAAAAGGGTGCATTGTATTGGAGGACCGTAACTGTTAAATACTCGTTCAATATTTTTTATAAAATTTTATACCACCTTCATTAATATCAACATAGAATAAGTAAAAATATAAAAGCGTCTCTTTCATACGAATAATTTTAAAAAAAAATTTAAATATTATGTAAAAAATTATATCATAATTTATAAATAAAATTAAATAAACGTGGCTTATATAAGAGGGAGTATGGACTAGTACTTCTGATGAATGACAACAGATGTTGTTTTTTTTTTTTTTTTTGAATGGGAGTAATTACTCCGAAATGATTTCAACAGGTATTGTTCTCATGTCCCCATTTCATTCTGATAATCTAAATGGACTGGGCTATCTATGTCTCTGCCCAGAGCCCAGAATTTCCATTGGATTTTCCAAAAAGCCTGATTCAGACTCACTGACCTCTGTCATATGCATTGCCCATTTGACTCCACGCCTTGCTTGACTGCATAAATAGGGATCATCCAGAACCCCTTCCCTGTTGCTCGAAAGGACACGTCACGTGTAACATCACATCGACTGCGGCCATTTTCCAACTGCTATTCCTCTGTCACACTTCCCATCTAAGATTATGAGCTCCATTGGGATAACTTGCATTTTATTTTTAAAAAAGATTTATAATTTTAAATATTTAAAATATGTGTTGTTAATTAAAATTAAGAGAAAATCATTCTAAAGTTTCATAGAAGTATTTAAAATACGCTGAAGTCTCATGAATTTATTAAATAGCTATCAGATCCCAAGAGATTTAAGGGTGAACAAGTTTGAAAATGAAATTACTGATTTGTTCTCTGCCATTAAAAAGGAAATTTTGCTTGAACGCATAATTCACGAAGCCTATGATCAGCGATTATGAAAATTGATGCATATTCATGATTGTTGATCACAGTAGGGTAATTTTCACTTCTTCATATCTATGATTACTGCCCTTGTCTTCATCTAAGCGAGGTCGGAGTGTTCTTTCGCTGCTACAGTGTTTCATCGATGGAAAAAAATACAGTGATTGTTGAGCAAGTAAATGATTTCTTATGCGTTAATGATTTCACTATTGTTTAAGGGTAGGATAATGCTTTATGGGTATACCTACGGTCATTTGATTTGCATGGCTAATGGATATGGATTATCTGGTGTGACATTAATACGTTGAAAAATATCTAATACGAATAACTCTACATATTGTCAATAGTGTATTCTTGTGTTGTCAATATGCTATCGATAGTTGTCGATACACTGTATTGTGCAGGGTGACTTGTAAGAATACTTATACCACCGAAAAACATGTATTATGTTATATTTTTTTTTTTCATATAGGGGACATTTTATATATTATTCTCAAGCATGTGATGCAAGCTTCTTTTGTTGCAAAATCTCTGTTGTACCTTATAAGACTGACTTGTGGTGCAGGATGACCTCTATAGGAAGAAGATAGAATTCTTGTGATGGCTATTGAGTCATTGTAACAGCGTGAAGGAGCACAAAGCCATGCCCTTGTTAGAAAGATCCCAGGAAAGGAAAAAGAGGAAATAATAGAACTATAGGATATAACTTTATTGATAATCACGTCCTTTTATATAGTTAACCTATTTCGTGTAGTTAACTTAAACAATGCTATTATGAATGGTGATTACAAGTTTGTAAATGTGGCAAATAGTTTGTTTTATTAATTAAATGCTGACAAGTAGCCAACTGTGATTGACAAGTGGTTTTCACTTTATTGATAAGCTATGCATTCACTATTGACTAGTACTGATATATTAGGTGCTGTTATTCCCTTTAAAAATCAACAAACTACAAAAACTTGTTGATTACTTGCCGTTGGCAATTGACAAGTGGTTATCACTATATTGATAAACTATGCATTCACTATTGATAAGTGTTGATACATTAGGTGCTATTATTTTCTTAAAAATCAACAAGTTACAAGAACCTATTGATTATTTGCTGTTGGTAATTAAGAAGTGGCTATCATTATATTAACAAATTATGCATTTACTATTGACAAGTGATGATACATTAAGTACCATTATTCCCTTTAAAAATCAACTAGTTATAAGAACCTGTTAACCACTTGCTATTGGCCATTGACTGCAAGTTATCACTATATTGACAAGCTATGCATTCGTCGTTGACAAGTGTTAATACATTAAGTGCTGTTATTCGCTTTAAAAATCAATCAATTATAAGAACCTGTTGACTACTTGCTGTTGGCCATTGATTACAAGTTATCATTATATTGACAAGCTATGCATTTTTCATTGACAAGTACTGATACATTAGGTGCAATAATTCTCTTTAAAAATTAACCAGTTACAAGAACCGACTGACTACTTGCCATTAGCTATTGACTACAAGTTATCACTTCATTAATAAGCTATGCATTCTTCATTGACAAGTGCTGATACATTAGGTGCAATAAATAAAAAAATAAATTTCAAATACATAAACAAAAAAGTACACTTGTCTTTGATATTTTCTAGCATAGATTAGGATTTTTGCAAGTCTTGGAGGTATGACCAGTCTCATGGCATCTTACACAATGATAAACCCTTTTGTTTTGGATTTGAGATTCTCTTCTTTTACGCTTTAGCCTACCCAAAGACTTTATAGTCATTAGTAGCTTCAAGCAGGTTTGGGTTAATAAATTTGTCACTGTCAATGCTTATAGACATGGATAGTCATGTGTGGCTACCGGCCTCATGTTGTTGGCATATATCTTCTGTTAAGCGATAAACTTGTAACATTCATCTATAAAATTATACACATTGCCATAAACTACCTTGATTGCTGCACATGCATGTACATAAGGTATTCCACTCATTTGCCATGCTAAACAAGAGCATGTATGTGCTACTCATTCGATGATATCATTCTTGTCAACTCTTCATACGTTGTTCGTTCCTTTATTGTTCTTATTCTAACACTCCCCCAACATATTGCATACTTCCTTGGTCATAATTTTAAAAATGTCCCCTATATGAAAAAAATATAATATATGTTCTTCAGAAGAACTTGCCATCTTACAGGTCAATCTACATCACACACAGTGTATTGACAACTACACACAGCATAATGTCAACACATTCATCCACTATTGACAAGATGCAGCGTTGTTTCATAATAGAGATTTTCCAACAAAATAAGCTTGTATCATATGCTTGAGAATAATATATAAAATGTCCCTTATATGAAAAAAACATAACATAATACATGTTTTTCGGTGGTATAAGCATTCTTACAAGTCATCTTGCACAATACAGTGTATCAACAACTATCGATAGCATATTGACAACACAAGAATACACTATTGACAACACGTAGAGTTGTTCGTATCAAATATTTTTCAACATATCAATGTCGCACTAGATAATCCACACCCATTAGCTATGCAAATCAAATGATTGTAGGTATACCCAGAAAGCATTATCCTACCCTTAAACAATAATGAAATCATTAACGCATGAGAAATCGTTTACTCGCTCAACAATCACTGTATTTTTTTTGTCGATGAAACACTGTAGTAGCAAAAAAAACACTCTAACCTCGCTTAGATGAAAACAAGGGCAGTAATCATAGATATGAGGAAGCAAAAATTACCCTACCGTGATCAACAATCATGGATATGCATCAATCTTCATAATCGCTGATCATGGGCTTCGTGAATTCTGCGTTCAAGCAAAATTTCTTTTTTAATGGCAGAGGACAAATCAGTAATTTCATTTTCAAACTTATTCACCCTTAAGTCCCTTAAAATCTGACAGCTATTTGATAAATTCATGAAACTTCAGCGTATTTTGAATGCTTTCATGGGACCTTAGAATGATTTTTCCTAAAATTAAATCAATATATATTATTTATTTTTATAATAAATTATTATTATTAATACATTAAAATTACTTGTTTTAATTTTATTAAATAAAAATATATTAAATATATAGAATTAAGCATGTACTTCCTCCGTTAAAAAATATAAAATATTTTTAGTCTTTAGATATAATTATTGCCTTTTTTTTTAAGTATCTCTATTGATAAAAGACTTTATATTTATTATAGAATGTTTAATATGGATAAATATAGAAAGATATGATTAATTTAAAATAAATAATTATTTTATTGAAGTGAGATTCGATTAAAAATGTATTATATTTTTTAACAGAGGAAGTAAATTTTTCCTTTAATTTTTAGTAAATATTTTCGATATTTTAAATTAAAAATTGTTTGGATGAAAAATAGGATTAAATATAAATTTACTCTCTATATTTCTAGCAAGCATACATCATATCTTAAATTATTTTTTAACATAGTTTTATTTTAAAATTTTTTTAAAATGATATAATGTCACCCTAATTTAATTGCTTGACTAGCCTTGGTGCTAATCTAAAAAATTTGACAGTTAACGGCCTTGCTCGCTTGCCATGCATCACCCTTCTCTCCTCTTGCCCATATCTGTTCGTTTTCCTCCTCTGCCCTGTTTACTTCTTTCGCGTCTGCATTAAGCACCAAATGCTTATAAGATCACAAGCAATCTTGACTTCTTATTTTAACTTAAATTGATATCTTTTATTTATTTAAATTAATTTTTAAATATTTTTAATATTATATTTATTAAAATATAAAATATAAAAAATTTTAATATTAAATTTAGATTATTTAAAATACGTTTGAATAATTAATTTATAAAATTTTTAATATTAAATATATTATTTAAATTTAAATTATATTTAAACTGTTTAAAATTTATTTCAACAGTTGAATTGTAAAATTATAAAAAAATTTAATATTAAATTAGATTACTAAATTAAATATGTAGATTCATAATCAACATATTTATTAAAATTTTAAAATTTTTATATTAATGATTATAATATTAAAAATATTTAAAATTAATTTAAAGAAACAGCAGGAGCGATTTGGATTAAAATGAAGGGTCAGATCTCCTAGCCATCGTGCTTCTTCGTCCTCCTCCTCTAAACACAGTTCCCATTTGCGAACCATCATCCTCTTCTTCTTCAAGCTATCTTCCTACTCCAATGGCGATGGTCGACTCCCCTTTTACTTCTCTCCTTCAAGCCTGTTAAGATCTCGTTCTCGAAGATGGTTAGGAATGAATCGAGAACCTCGCGCGAAGAATGGTGATGTAAGGTAGAGCAATCGCGCCCTGTGAAGACGATGACTGAAGCTCGTGTGTGGCTCGACACCTTTGATTCTGGGTTGGGACGGAGAAATATCTGTGAGCTATCTTGTTCCTTCGATTATGCGTGGCTTGACACCTTCATTTCTGGGTTTATGGGTTTCTGGGATTCTGGGTATCCTTCGAAGTGCGAGAGGGTTCATTTTAAACGGTTTCATTATATTCAAGCAGCTTACTTGTTCCTTCGATTATGCGTGGCTCTGGAAATATGATTTATCTTGTTCGATCTCGGTTTGAACTAAGATTTGGGTTCACAGATGGTGGCGAAGAAGAACGTGGGAAGGCTGGTGGAGATATTGGAGGAGGTGGCGGCAGCAAGTTCTGGGTTTTGGGTTCTTGCTCCTTGCTTTCTAATTTGGGAATTCGATTGTTGGGTTTGATTTGTTCAGTTTTGATTTCCCTCTCCCTCTCGATCTTCGTCTTCGATTTCCTGATTGTTGCAGAGCGAAAGCGTTGCATTTGGATCTCCCTCTCCCTCTCGAACTTTGCCTTCGATTTCCTGATTATTGAATCTGGAATTATTGTTTTAATGGTAGTTTTTGTTTATTGTTGATTGTTGAATCTGGATTCTTGTTTATTGTTCTCCAGTGACCGTTCTTTTAGTGGGCAATATGGAGAAGGGTAGCTGTGTTGGTCTAGGGTTTTTTTATCTGACTAAGGGTATTTTGGTTTTTTAATATTAGGAATATATATTTTGGATAAAAATTAGAGCAAAATTCCATCAACAAATCAACCATATTTTTAAATCTCATATCCATTTTCATTTCAATTTCCATTTGTGCATTCACATCTATCTTCATTTCCATCAAAATTATTTCGGGCCTTCACACTCACTTCCTCCGTTTGCTTCTCCTCGTCCGCATCGCTTCACATTAACAGATGGGATTCCTGTGACGCCGGCGACCTTGATTCTCTCACGGATCAAGCTCCTATTCGTATTTCGAGGTCATTTCGGAGCCGAGAAGGAACGTGCACCTGGCCGTATGTGATTATTGAGGAAGGAGACAGAGCAAGGAAATTCGGGTTCGAGAAAAGCAGCTAGCACTTGGGTTCGAGTTTGTCTGACCTTATACAAGTAACTTGAGGTTTGGGTCCGAGCAGATAGAGGTAACATTTTCATTACCCTCTTTATTTATCTGTTCGAAGCTTGCTCGAGTGTCTCTGTTTTGGTGTTCTCATATTACGTTTAGATGTACTGATGTTTAAAGATTGGTTTTTAGATATCTTGTGTGGAGTTAAAAGCCATAAAAACCATACTATCAGGAAGCTTTGAAGGCTTATATGGATCTTGGATTTTTGCTCATTCTCGTTATCCTAGTTGTGATAAGCTGAGATCTGTTTTCCTTGCTTATGATTGATACCTAGAGGGTAATATTTCGGTTTTGATTTGCGTTTTCAAAATCTTATATCGTATTTTCTTTATTTTGTTAGGTAAAACTTCTCTTTCTTATATATTTCCCAGTAAACATTGACTTCTGACTTGCCATTATGAATATCAGGAGGCCACGATCAAGAGCTCAAGCACAAAGTAGTATGATTCTATGGCTTTTAACTCCGTATCAAGCTTGCTTTAGTGTCTCTATTCTAGGGATAGTTATTTTTTGAACTTTTCTTCAGTGTTTTGTTTCGAATTATTGTTGGTTATGTCTCTACTTTACGGTTTTAAATGGGCAATGAATTTGTGTGATTTGTGTGGCAGAAAACTTGATCTGTACAAGTGAGAAAACTTGATTATTGAGAATATTGTATTTTGGTAGTAATTATGAGTAAAGAAAAGGAACTTGGACTGTGGCTAGAGAAAGAGATCAGATTGCACATTATAGTCTGAACAATTAATCGTATTAATTTTTAGTATTAATGGATATTGAACTATTCATATAAATTTTGTCCAATATATCAAACTTTACATTTTTTTTATTCTCATTATTTGACATATCAAATTTTATGTCCATAGTATTAATGAATATTGAACTATTTATAGACTGGACTTAGAAAAAGTTATGAAGTGTCAAATTTGTATTTCCTACCATGATTTTGGGGAAGAGATGATCCAAGCAAGCTTATGGGGAAGGAAGGATTTCTGAGTTTAAGGAATGATTTGTAGGAACAAAGAGTGGTGCGGTGAGGGAGCAGGATTTAATGTGAATAAGGGAGTCGAATTGTGTGTGTGTGAGAGAGAGAGAGAGAGAGAGAGAGAGAGAGAGTGAGGATAACTGAGAGACAAGAATTTGAATTGAGAGAGAAGAAGAAAGGGTAGAACTTGGTAGAGGGGCAAATTAAGCAAGAACTGATTAGGTTCCCCTTCTTTAGAAACCAATTTATTTAGTTAAATAAACGAAAAGGTCCATGTGAGCAAGGATTTCCGTTTGACTCTTTTTTACTTAATTTCTCAAGGAAAGGTTTGCGGATTTCATGGCTTTGAGAAAGAATCTTTGGCAGACTGTTCTATATAGAGAATTCGATGGGTGCCTTGTGTACCCTCGTCGGCTCTATATTACTAAGGTCAACCTAAAGAAGCTCCGACCCATGATTCACCAGAGAATAGAAAAACGGGCCAATGAATATCCAGTTCGTGCCATGGTTCTGGTTGCACTGGAGGTCCTCAAGGCCAGGAATGTTCTCATCCAAGGCGTTTCTACCCTTCTCAAGTCCTTTCCTGTCATGGCTTGCAAGTAAGTTCAATTATGTTAGTTGATGATGGCACCTCGTTGTTTTACCTATGATTCTATGGTGTGATATTTTTATTTCTATATCTTAATTGGGGGTGTTATGACCAGAAATATGACATGGCTCTCAGCAATCTTATAACCTGTTTCCTACTTGTGTTAGACAACTTCTGCAATGACATGATTCAGTACATTTATCTCTCTGATAGTCATTGTCCGAACTGAATTTTTTTAAAGATCTGCACGTTTGTTGGTCTAGATGTCCATTTAGATGTTGAAAACGGGGCGGAAAAGAGGAAATGAGAAGGAACCATTGAGGTTTGAAGTGAAGAATGCCCTGATGTCACCAGGCCCACCACTATCCTGTTATTAATGAGTTAGCAGAACTTCATTATAACTAGTGTCAATAAATAACTATTTTTATGAGTTGCTAATTGACCTGTTCCACCTAAAATGGTAATAAATTATGGTAATTTTCATGCACTTGATCCTTGCAAGTTGTTTAATATGGGCAAACATTAATTTGATTAAATAGAATCCAAGTCAGGTAATTAAGTAGAATGTATATTTGGACTCAGTCTCTTCCCATTTCTTAAGCTCAAGCTCCACAGAATACTATTCTTATCTTCCCATATTGTACACTTTCAGATTCTGTCCAGAGTTATTTATTGGTGAGAAGGGACATTTAATTCGGACTTGCCATGGCTACAAGCATCGTGCCAAGAACCGGTGTCATGAATGGGTTGCAGGTGGTTTGAATGATATACTCGTTCCAGTTGAAACGTATCACCTAAACAATATGTTCCAAGGTGTTATTGAGCACAACCAAAGGTTTGACTTTGATCGCATTCCTGCTGTTGTTGAACTATGCTGGCAGGCCGGGGCTGACCCTTACAGTGATATTGCCAGCGGCAGTTTCCGAGGAAGCGAGTTGTTGTCACCAAATGATCTTACCTTAGTAGCAAATAGAACATTAACAGCTTGGGAGACTCTTAGGTCTGGGGTGCAGAAGTTGCTGTTTGTTTATCCGGCAAAAGTCTGTAAATATTGTTCAGAGGTTCATGTGGGGCCATCTGGCCATAAAGCTAGGCTTTGTGGTGTGTTCAAGTATGAGAGCTGGCGAGGAGCTCACTTTTGGACAAAAGCAGAGGTGGATGATCTCATACCTCCAAAGATTGTATGGAGACGGAGACCTCAAGATCCTCCTGTACTTGTGGATGAAAGGAAAGGTTACTATGGGCGTGTACCAGCTATTTTGGATTTATGCGTAAAAGCTGGTGCCGTTGTGCCTGCAAAGTACAACAGTATGATGAAAGCGCAAGGTTTATCTGGCCCTGCCTTTTCTTGATTAGGATGAAAAATGGCAAATGGCATGAAAACTGATGCTTAAAAATCTTTGAAGCCAATAGTGCGTGGGATGAATTGTGAGCCTGATTTGGTTTTGGGCCGTTGTAATATCCTGATAATTATGATATTTAAAATAATATATTTAGTTATTTTTATTATTTTTGGGAAACAAATTATAAAATTACTTTATTCAAAATATGCTTTACCTATAACATTTTCTGTTTCGAAATTAAAGCAGTTGATCAACTGGAGAATTTTTTGGAACCTGAATCTTTGCATCTAATAATGGCGCTCGCGCTTCCCCTCTGCATAACGCAGTGTGTCATTTAACACCCTCAAATCTCTGCCGCTGAATGTTGTCAACTAATCCCAACCGTCCAATGCCTTCTACCCCTAAAATCCCTCACCCTTCCGGTGACTCCATGTCTTCGATGGGTTGGGTTCCTTCTCTACGAGCATAGGCATGCTGCATGCGACGGCAGCATATGATGGCGGTCTAGTTCCAACGGTGGCATGTGTGCAACGGCAGTGTAAGTGTGACAGCTGCGACGATAGATCCCTCATCCCTTCCAGTTCGATGGTTGGGTCTCTTCTCTGCGAGCAGAGGCGTGAGGCGGTGGCGTACGACAGCGATCTGGTTGCAACGGTAGCAAGGGTACGACGCTGGTGTGGGTATGATGGTTGCGATGATAGATTTAAATTTGGTTCAATCTCTTCCTCTATTTTCATGCTTTGATTTCTTGTTCTTCTTGAGATGGTGGCCAAACTGAAATTTCTTATATTTCTCAAGTTTTATAATCTGTTTAATTTAATATTTATGGTGGTTTAATGATGTATAAATTTCTTATGTTATTTGTTATTTCATTTTTTTCCCCTTTTCAGCCAAGTTGTAATCCATTGCATTGACAATCGAGACTGTTAAATTGAATCACTGAAGCCATTAAAATCACTATCAAAAGCATATTTCTCATTCACCTTTGTTTTTACACCCAAGGTTCTTTCTTCCGCCTCACGAGTGTAATGGATTTGGGAAGATGAATCTTTAACATAAGCCAGTGGACGGTCTGGATTTATCATTTGTACTCTAACGGCTTTGATATGCTAAGTAGACGATATTTCATCATTTCAATGCTAGATGCAAATACGTAGAACCGTTTCTCATTGAAGACATTTAGGCTCCATCTGATACGGAGGATAGCTTTTAAGGGAATGAAAATGAAAATGAGAGTAGGAATAGAGTGAAAATAAGTTTTAAAAATTATATTTGATATGTTACGAGAATGTTTCAATAATTTTTATTATATATATAATTTCAAAAAGACTATGAAACTTATAAGAGTAAAGATGCAAATTTGACTATGAATTATTTTTCCAAAACTACTAGGTAGTTGATATTATGAGATGATATAAAAATAATCATCAATTATAGAAAACAAAACATCCACAACCTGCCATCCATTTTGCCTAACATTCATTTATTATACCTCTCTCGTTCTTTTAGTCTCTCTCTAACTCCTTTGTCTCTCCCAACTCTGACTCTCCTTCTTTTGCCCCTAACTATGCCTCGACCATCAATACTACTTCAACCTTGATTCCAAGGACCTCGTCACCCATTGTTGAGACTAGCCTACTCTATTCTTTGCCTTAGATCTCGAAGTCTCTCCTTCTCACCTTCTCGAAGTCTCTCCTGCTCACCTTCTCAAACCAACACAAAAATTCACATAGATAAACCCTCCCTCCAACCTTCAACAACACCTTATATTTTGAAGTTTCTGTTTGAAGCATTTGCCACTGTTGACTGAGGGGATTCATTTTAAGTGATTGAAGGTGAAGTTTTCAATGTGAAAAGGCAAACTGTTGACCGGTCACCAATACTACCATTGACCTCATAGAAGTTTGCCAAAGGAGATTTGCTTGGAGGTGAAGTTTTCAGTCACTTGTTGTTAGTTACTTTCACCATCTGTCATTTTGCTTTGTGGTTACATCGCCTTGCTTGTAATTGCTCGAAGGTTGTACTCAAAATGATTGGGGTATATAGAAAGCAAGAAGCTCAAGAGAGCTAAGAGAGAGTGAAATACTAAAATTCAAAGTAGCAAGTAAAGACAGTATCAATACCACAATCACCTTATATTCTTTTCTTTTCAACCAACAAGATTTTAAACATAAAAGTTCCTCAGTCATATTGATTACCTGTACTTTCTCAATAATTAGCAATCTTAAAGTACAAGTATTCATTAATTTCAAAGAAAGATCAGAAGGTGCATCCCAATAATTAAAAATAGAAGCTTTTAAAAATTTAGATAATCCAATAAAATTTACTTGACTCTCATTAGTAAAAGTCAAAATTTTTCTAGGAAAGTCATGTGCAACAGGTATTAGGATCTCCTCATCAAGCTCAACATGACAACATCAAAATCATAAAGATTAGGCTCCATAGCCAGAGCCTCTTCTATACATCTGTTACTCACCCACAAATTGATTTCAAGTTCATTATCACCTTTTACATTATCTATATTTTCATAATAAGATGGCAAGTGTTTTTGCCTTTATCTTTTCAATATATTCTAATATTTGGCTCACATAGATTTCAATATTTTAAACACTTGACTCAACATTAGTGACAAAGTCTTTTTGTGATTTTGTAAGTTTATGTGATGAATCCATAAGGTCCTCAAATAATCTTTCTAAGCAAGAATCTTCCTTATACTCCTGGGCATTTTCCTCAACATGTGGATAAGAGTAAAGAGGTGGGGTCATTTCATTTGAATGATAATCTAAATGAGGATTTTAAAAAGACTCATATTTCTTTAGACTCTAACTAGGACTAAAGAAATTATCAAAATAAGTTTTTCACCTAATGAAATCATTCCTTATATAGTTAGAGGCTTTGCCAAAGTGACAATGCTTGCAAGAATGACTTTATCCACAATAAACACAATAAAAGCCATAATATTGAGAAGAATCAACACACTTAGTGTAACTAGCATTTAAATGCATATTATATTGCGTCCTTTCATTTAAATAGCTCATATAAGCAATCAATACATCTTGCATTGAAGACAAGGAATTCATTTCCTTGTCAATATTAAAGCCACTTTAGTTTCACTTGAAATCCATTTTTTCAATTTTTTTATTTTTTTCAAACATAAAGAACACAATCACAAATTAAAAGAGAAATAACAACACAACAAAATAACTTGAACATGAAATTTACAAGACCCAAACTTAAGTTACTAATGCTTAATCAATTTGAAACAAGAAAATCAAAGCAAGCTAAGCAAAATAGCAAATGAAAAGAAAAAGAAAAGAAAAAAATGCTTAATAAAGAACTACTAAAGATTCTTTAATGCTAATCATCAATTGCTTTAATTTCCCAACAACGGCCCTAAAAAACTTGATACACACAAAAACCAAATGGACATTGCAAGTGATTGGGTCACTATTATAGCTAATAGCAAATTAAGATCGATTTCACAAAGGATTAAATAAATTGAAAAATAGGCATTAAATTTTTAATTTCATTTACGTTAAGCAGGCAAATTATAGTGGTAAATGATTCAATTTAAAAATAAAAATAGAAAATGAGCAACTAAAATTTTGAAGTACTTTAAAGTCAAGAGAATAATTAGGAAAGCACCCTAGAATTTCCTTTCCTAATTTCATTCTATTTCTTTAATTTATCACCTAATGATGGCCAATCGTTAAGCAACACAAAGACAAACTGAAATTAAAATATAAAATATTAATCAAAAAGTAATCGGTAAATCAAGATACAATCAAAGCAAATGAGTTCATATGACTCTAGAATATCAAGTTTTAGCCACCCATAACTAAATACAGTCTTAAAATAACATAATAATAGGACAACATTGGATATAAGGAGAAAGCAAGATAAAGTGAAGGAAAACTCAATGAAAATGTGAATGGTGATGAGTTATCTTGCTCCCAAGCTTTAAAATCGCCCTAAGCACTCCAAAAATTCCCCTAGACTTTCAGAGAACATAAAAAATAAAGTCCACTCTGAAAACTCTAGTTTCAATATTTTATTATCAAAAAAATTGAAAATTGTGCATTCTGGTGTAAAATTCACTACATCAAGCTTGATTTCTGGTTCAAAATTTACCTTATAACATTGACCCGCTGTAGTGATTGCTAAGCGGGTGATCATTAAAGTCCAATTTCTTTATAAAGTCATCATATTTTTCCTCCTCCACTTCTTCCAAACTTTAATAAGGGTTCCTAAAACTAAAATGACTACGATTAATAATGAAAATTGCTATAGAATAAATTAAAATAATATTTACAAAATAAGCTAACTAACACCAAAATAAATACTAAACAAAAGATAATTAACCAAAAATAACTAGATGACTCTTCGATTGACCAATAAAACATTTCAAAATACATGAAAATATAGAGAGTCGTTAGGTTAGTAAGACGATCAGATAATGTTAAAGAAGGAAAAGTGGTGGTAGAAAGGGAAAAATAAGAAAGAGGAAAGTGGAAGGAAGGAGGAGGAAGAAGTAAAGCAGCACAGATAGGTGGAGCCTTAGTTAAAAAGTTAGTCAACTAATATCCTTTTCTTTAAAATTAACAGAAGGCTATGGATGCTCCATTTTTTATAGTTGATAATTTTTTTTGCACCATCTTATAGTATATGTTATTCAATGGTTTTGAAAAAATATTTCATAATTAAATTTGCACCTTGACCTAACCTATAAATAAAGATGTCTGCTGGTGTGATGGAGTTACATCTTGCAAGTGGAACATAAGCTGAGGAAATTAGACCTAGAAGCATAATGTTAGGGAAAGAAGCAATAATCTTTATTGACAACATTATAGTATAAAAGGTATGTTTGGATCAATACTGGGTTGATCAAAAATAAAGTTTGAAGGACTATGATTGGTTTTTCTATGTTTAATACTTTAATTAGATTTCCTTTTCAATCAATCTCATATAAAGCTATAACTTAAGTTGGATCGATCAAAAGAACCAGAATTAGTTTCTTTTGCCAGATGGTTTGTAAACTCTAGCCTAAAAATTTTCAGTTTTACAAACATTAATCCAAGCACATGTTCACGATAAATAGGGTTTGGTGATAAGACACATTATTTACACATTTCATCCACTCATTTAGGACCTATTTTACACGTTATA